GAATTTCATTAAACGATGACTCTGAAGATGAACTAGATTATGAAAATGAAGATGATTGAAAATTGTTTTTCGAGGGTATTCTTTTCTCAGTAAAGGTAATAAAATATTTAGTTGATCTGGTTGAAATGTAGCACACTTAAATAACTCATTAATTGACATAATTTCAAGTAGTTATATTAGACGTCATTATGCAAAAAATAAAGTTATGAACATTTAATAAATTAGTGCACAATTGAGGCCCCTAGAACACAAGGGGTGTAAGTGCCAAAAACAAAGTTTTGAAAAATCTTTGTTCAAAGTTCGATATAAATTTAAAAACCTAGGTAGCACTTTTTTAGTTTTCAGCATGTTTTCAATGACATGTAATTTTTGATGGTGTTATTGTTGTTTATGTAGAAAGTTTGAAGCCAAAAGTACGTGCCTGTTGTTAGATATCAGTTGCTAAGTGATAAGCAACTGCACTTACACCCTTGTGTTCTAGGGGCCTCAATTAGGGTGTTTTTGCAATTATCTCAGTCATTTGTTTATGTATTTTAATTTACAAACTAAAAAGTTAAAAAACTTTTTAAGATCTGCAACATTTATTTGAAACATTTTTCCCTAAAATGCACGAGGAACAAAATAGGCAAAAAGATGATTTTTTCCAAACTTCATCTTTCTTTAAAAAATAAACAAAGCAAAATTGGCTGTAATTCTTCAAGGAATTATCATCAGTTATCCCTTATCTACCGTTTAGAACATTAAAAAACCTGTAGAATATGTTTCATATTTTTTCCCTATTAACTGCGGTATTATGTATAAAAGCATTTTTGGAATTATTACCATTTATTTCATTCACGAATTTTCTATTAACAACTTTAGCTTACCTAAACATATCTTAGTTTACCGTGAGTTTGGCCCTGCTTATTTTACAAAAGTAGCAAAACTTACAATGGCAGTAGAATTGGCAACGCTGTTATCCTATATCCGTACACTGCCATCTGAACGTGACTTTATCTATAGTTGGATATAGAGAAGACCCAGAAGAACAGTAAAAAAATAATGGACATGCAGTAGTCGAACGTACGCACTAACAGAAGGCCAAAAAAACCCTATTCTTATATTTTATTTCTTTTATGTAGTTATTTTCATTTTTACTACCCAGTTACACTATATTAAATGGCAAAAACCAAAAGAACATAAACATGGGGTGTGTGATGGCCATATACACCTGAGAATGCACACCCCACCCATTAATACTTTCTCTCTAATATTTTTTTCTCTTAATCTTGTACTAGTAACCTTCTGTTATAGCAGTCATGCAGTGCAAATAAAATATAAAAAAGTAGATCGAGTGAATGCTGATCAGCCGCACATACTGAAAAGAACCAAGCTTGCGGAACCTGAACATCGAGATCACGTACCGACAAACGTGAGCACGATGGCCAGACCTTTCGGGCACTCAGCCGACGAGGAAAACAAAATTTATTTTGCCAATTCGGCGGCTGAGTGACCGAGCACACACCATCCAGGCGGTAAGTCACTGACTTAAGTCGATAACTTGCTGTTTGGAAAACACATTTTGGAATACAAGTCCAAAGTCGTGTAAAAATTAACCTCATTTATTCATAGGGAAAAAGCTCTTTTAGCTCTCCGTAAAATCAACTGGTTTAACGACATGAAGTAAAACAGAGGAAATTCCATTACCCAGGGCATCCAAACTAACGCTCAGTGCAAAGCCGCCCCATCCGTTACGTCCTGCTTGGGGGAGGGGTAGTTGGTGATAGTTTGGGGGTCAAATAGGTATCACTCCATTACGGGGTGTAATCGGTTTGATTTTTGGACATGTGGGTCCCACTGTTTCGTTGAAACACACATGTGACTCAGAGCTGTCGTTGTACAAAATTTGTTGTATGTGGAAATGTTGTATTGTAGAAATTCTACAAAGTAAATACGACGACTTTAGCGTGCATAAAAAGGTAAGAGAAATTACAGGCAAATGTAAAAAACAGAAGAATAAGTAAATTTGTTAATGACAACGCAGAGGTAATCGTGGACAAAGAGAGTATTAATAACATCTGGAAAAATTACATACGAAATTTATTTTTTGAAGAGAGGGAGAACCAGTCCCCAATACTTACGGAAACATTAACACCTACACTAGTGGCAGAAATAAGAGCAGTCATAATATCACTAAAACAAGAGGAAGATCCAGGACCAGATGGAGTACAGTCTGAATTTCTTAGTGATGGGAAATCTTTAAGAAAACTATGTAAAATCTTCAATAATATCCATACCACAGGCAATATTCCAAAAGATTGGATAGTTTTAGAATTTACTACGTTACCAAAGAAACAGGGACCGAAAAAGTGGAAGAATATAGGCTAATAAGTCTAATGAGCAACACACTAAAACTTTTTTTTAAAATTATACATCGCCGAAAATACAAGCTACGTGAAGAGAGAATAAAAGACGCACAGTTTGGATTCATGAAAGGCGTAGGTACGAGAGATGCCTTGTTTAGTGTACAGGTATTATTCCAAAGATGCAGAGATATGACTTGCGATATTTACACCTGCTTTGTGGACTACCAAAAAGCATTTGACACAGTTCAACAATGAAAAATAATGGATGTTCTACAAAAAGCCCAAATAGATGATAAAGAACGGCGTATAATACGAAATTTATACTGGAACCAATCAGCCACAATAAGAAAAAATCTTGGAGATGAACCGACGGAAGCGATCCAGATTCTGCGAGGCGTTAGACAATGATGTATACTTTTACCTATATTATTCAACCTATATTCAGAGAAAATATTTAGTGAAGCCCTGGAAAATTGCGAACATGCAATCCTTTTTAATGGAGAACGCCTAAGCAATATCCGCTATGCAGATGACACCGTTATTTTTGCAGACAGTTTAAATAGTTTACAGCAACTAATAAACAAAGGAAATGAAGTAAGTGAAAGATTTGGACTACAAGTAAACATATCAAAAACTAACTAAAACTAACTAAAAACAGCAGTGGACCGAGTAAAATAGGTTACCTATCTTGAAACAATAGTAAACGAAAAATGGGATCACTCACAAGAAGTAAAATATAGACTAGAGAAGGCTAGGAGTGCATTCAACAACATGGCCACACTTTTTAAAAGCCACAACCTTAATCTGGAGATAAAAGTAAGGCTCCTACGATGTTATATCTTCTCGATATTAAACTACGGAGTTGAATCCTGGACACTCACTGAAGCGATGAAGAAAAAACTTAGAGATTTCGAGATGTGGCTATACAGAAGAATCCTAAGGACGGACATCATGGACGGACAAGATAACCAACAAGACTGAACTTCGAAGAAAGGGGAAAGAAAGAGAAGTGATGTATACGATTTAAAGGAGAAAGTTAGAATATCTCGGATACTTAACAAGAAACGGCACTAAATACAGATTACTGAAAAGAATCCTTTTAGGCATAGTATTCGGAAAGCGAGGAATTGGGAGAAGAAGAATATCACGAATAAAAAACCTGAAGAAATGGTTCCCCACAACAACTAATCTATTTAAAGCATGAGTTAAAATAAAATAATTATAGCCAGAATGATCGCCAATATTCTAAGACAGGCCGTGACAGAAATCGGACCGTCATGTCAGTGAGCTAGTTGGATTAGTTGTACAACTAGTGGTATGAGTCGGAACATATAGTGAGACGACTTGAAGGTCCAACTTAAGACTGGCGACGAAGTCGGAGCGTGAATTGTGAAGTTGGAAGTCGGATCATAGGTCGGATCGAAAATTTCCTCAGTCAGTTGACTCTCGGCATTTGTTACAGATGAGATTTCTATGAAATACTTTATGCAAAAAGTTCTATAGTTCGCAAAATAACTTTCAATTGGATGAAAATTACCTTTTTGTTAGGGCAAATAATTTTCCTTTCTGTAGATCTATTTCGGACATTCCCATACAGGTACAATTTCCAACACTCCGGATTGGCTACGGAAGAATTATCAACAAACAACGAAAGTTAAATCACAGTTGTACTGAAATTAGACGTAACTGTTTTCTTATATTTTCCTGAAGTTATTTTCTTGTGGCATCTTATGCAAATTTACTATTTTAAATGGAAATAAGCCTGAATATTAGTTAGAAATTAAATTTATTTTACGTTAAACTGATATTGGACCGCTAGTTGGATAGCAAGTCGGAGCGTGAGTGGCGTGCATAAACGCATAGGCAAAAAAGAAGAAGAATCATCAAATTCATTTAGAAAAAAAAAACAAAATAAAAAGAGTTTAATTTCAAGAAATAATTAAAATCACATTTAAACCTCAACAACGCGACGACCTCCGCAATACGTAAAATTGCCCGCTTGTACAAATAGGGCGGTCGTAGTTACGTTTGTAATAAAAAATAGAATAAATTTATAAATAAAAATAAAAAAAATATATTGTAGGCATATTGACTATAGGCTACATTTTCGCCGCTTTTAGAATGTCACATAAATTGTTTGTAATCTTACACAAAACAATTTTTGTAACGTTCGATGCGACTAGCAGCAACAAAACATCGTTCATGATCCAGAAATATCTAATTCTTCCAACAAGAGATCATATTAACATATTAATTTTAAACTCACGGCTATCCGTCTATGGTTGTTACCCACTGAAAGATACCAACCTATATACAATAATTTGTACAGATGGTCAGTTGAATCGTTGCTTACTTACTTAATCTAAAGCCCGTGAAAATTCAGAAAATAGGCTTTATCACAGAAATATATTCGAAATTCCGTTCAGAGATAATAGATATTTTAATCCAGTCTGTTAGTAATAAGATTATAGTATTAGTAGGGTTAATAAATATTAGATATACATATATCATTGTTTTTTTACATCGTTTGTACATACATACATCCTTTTTTCTAAAGTATTTAATAAAAAATTAGTTAATTCAGGTTAGAATACTTTATACATTATACAATATATCATTAAAGACTCATGCAAAAATTAACTGTTCAAACTGTACCTGGCCTGTAAAATATAACTCTTCTGCCCAATCGGTCTCTTTTGGGACAGGCAAACATGTACCCCAAATCCGTTAGATCGTTCATCATTGGTATTGTGATGTCCAAGCAGTTAAAGGCGACGCCGAATGTCTGACGCAAAAGGATGTAACGTTCAAGACATTCTTGTGCGAGAGTTACGTGAAATTTCTTAAAACGTAAAAAACGCAGCAAGAATTTTCCATCTGAAAATAAATAATTCAATACTTTGTATGTGATCCCACAATTTTAGACAATTTAGTAAACTTATATTGTACTGTATATAAACTAGAGTTTTTGAAAAAGAGCAGATCCATATATTTTCCGACAAGCGACATTGAAGGCACTGGCGTGTCAGGAACTGACGTCCAGACTGGTGTGAAACAGCTTCGGAAAACTGAATGAAGTGGAAACAACGTCGAGCTTGTCTGGGTATCAGAGCATTGAATGCAACGAAAAAGCAGATCAACTTTCTAAAATGGGATCTACTGTTATCCTTGCAGCATCAAAGACTTCAGTCCCAAGGACTGTAGAGGACTGGATCCATGAAAGTGATAAACGATACTCGAGGAGAATCCCAAAATAAACACATGTGAACATTTTCATTGGTGAACCATGTACAAAAAGAATAGAGGAACTGTTCTATATGTGTAGGAATATACTGAGAACAGTAACAGAAATGTTGACCGGGCATGCACCAGTTAAAGAATTCCTGAATAAAATAAACATTTACAATGGATACCTCAATTGCAGACTTTGCGATTAGAAACCAAAAACTTTGAAACATGTATTATGTGTTATATTGTTCCTTATTCTGTATTTAAGTAGGCTTTAGCCGATAACTCAAAAATACGACTAATAATATTTTTTTAACATCTTAACGATTTCCTGTAGCGATCAATAAAAGAGCGGTCAATTGTAAGATCTTATTTCTCTACTAGATTTTGTTTTTTGGCTAGCGTTTAGTTCAAACCATCAACTCAGTAAACTACACGCTTTAAAGTGCGCCTGCGAACCCACTAAACCATCAAGCCAATATCTAAACATACTAGTTTTAGTAAAGAAATTTCCTTTTTGCTTTTCCTTAAACTTGATGAATTCTGCTATGTTTATATGTGATAAAGTTTTTAAATATCCCACATTAATTAAGATATTTCAAATTTTCTTCTTCTTTTTTCATCGACGTAAGCAATTCTGCTTGTTTACTGCTGGATTGATATCTCTATGAAAGGTCGGCAAAGCACCTTTTGCGCGGTCTTCCGATACTTCTACCGTTTCTTCTTCTTCTAGTTCCATGACCGTTATCGATCGTTGGATATCATGTTGGCTACCATATTCGCTATCGTGACTTTATTGACAGCAGCTCTAAATAACGATGTAGTTGATTTTCCATACCATTGCCTTAGATTTTTTAGCCATGATGTTCTTCTTCTACCAGGACCACGATTACCTTGGATCTTTCCCTGAATGATCAGATGTAAAAGATCATATTTTTCAGGGTGTCTCATAATATGACCGAAGTATTTTAGCTTGCGTTTCTTTATTATATTGACCAGTTGTGTTGTTTCGTTCAGCCGTCTACGAAACAACACAACTGGTCAATATAATAAAGAAACGCATATATTCTACCGTTTAGTGATTTATTTATCTCTTACTATTTTGATCACTCAAGTCTCCTCCAATCTATATATGTCATTATTTCGATCTTTTTTCTGTTTGGTATCTACTCGTTTTTACTCCTCTGTTCGTTATATTTGTTCTGTCTTCACTTCTCCTTCAGCCTCTCAGCATATTTGTTGTAACCCTTCTCAATATTTTTATCTCCGCTGTTTCCACCAAAAGCCTGTGTGTTCTGGCTGTGTGTATCGGCTCTTGTTTCTGAAACTGTCGTCATTATTGATTTTATACCAGCTATATAAAGTCCTAATTTCAGCGAAGTGTTAATATGTCCTTCCAGTCTCTCTGTTCTTTGTACTTCTTTTACTTTTTTCTCCAGGTCTCCATAGCTGGACCATGTAAACCTGGTAAGCTGGTCACTTTCTTTACTTGTTTAATGTTGACGCTAGAGAGTTTTAATTTACATCTTGTTATTTCATTCACTTGTCCACAATATTTTAGAAATTCGTGTGGTTTTTCATCTTTACCCACATGTTTTCTATTTTTCACATTTCCTAGTGTTATTTAAATTTCTTGGTTTATTTCTGATGTTTCTTATTCTAACGTCATTTATTGATCTTGAGTACACAACTTCTTTAGATAATCAATCAGTGTATATTTTTCTACGTTTTGGGTCATTAATTTCTTCATCTCCGTTCTTTAGCTTTTTATATATCGCCATATTTTATACCATAAAAATCATGCTCCATTTCTTTTGGAAAATATTGCCAGTGATTCTTTTTTCAGTGTTCTTACACGGAAATATATTTCGTTTCTTATTGTCTTGTAATTGTCGAACACTTAATTATTAAAAAATACTTCATTATTTTCTCTGATACATATGTTTCTGCCTTTTTCTGTACCTTTTTTGTGCATAGCTATCTTGTTAAATCTTCTTGCAGAGTTTTCATTCGAATTTGCATATGTATCCACCATTTTTGCACCACTTTATCATGGCTTCATATCTCTATGATGATGTCAGTGCCTTTGTCAGTGTCAGTTTAACTTAAAAAAGGTAATTACTTAAAACTTTATAACACATTTGGATCTCACGAAACCATTCATATATTTGAAACGAAAGAACCATGATTTATAAAAGGAATCAAGCTAATAATACACAAAAAACGGGATGTTTCTTTTTAGGTGTAGATAAGATGCAGTAAACTTCTGGCGAAAGCCTTTGAAAATACTTGTGCAATATTTCAAGATTTTTATGCTTAAGAGTGTTCTGACAACAACTCTTCATTAAAAACTCGAAAGTCTACAAATTACAAACAGTATCTTATACAAGACTACCTTAGCATTTTTAGATGTCAGGAAATTATTGGTAAAGAAATTGTTGATGGTCCCGTTAACCAAGGAACTGATATTGTTTTTATAAAACCAGAATTATTCTGTGGTATCCCAAAAAGCTGCATCGAGGAAGATGACCAAAAATAAAAAAAAATGAACCTAGTGCAGCCTACTGGAAAGATAACATAGACCAAAGTCAAGCTAAACGTTGATCACCCTGTTTGTCCAAAGTATTCTTAGTATGCGTTGGCGCAGCCAAATTTCTAAGGACTCTAATTTTTTTTATAGTTTCTGTTTTTAACGTTCACCCTTCTACTTTGTTCAAAGACGAGTTCATAGGATATAGAACAGTAGGAACAAAAAATGTATAGATATCATACTGTCATCCTGGCGGATAACTCAGAAGGGCTTCAATAACTTCTAGACGCAGTAGCATCACAAGGCAAATTCTTTGATATTAAAATTAACACTAATAAAACAACGGTAGCAAGCACCTCCTAATTTACCAGCTAACATTCAAATTTATAATACTCTCATAGAAGACGTCAATAAATTAAAATATCCTGGCTCATGGATGACCCAAGACAAATACACTGAGGTCGAAATTCGAGCTCAAATTGAACATGCAGCAAGATCTGCATTCTCTAAAATGAAACACCTTTTGACTCATGCAACACTTTTACTGGATATTAGATATCGATTTGTGAAAATTTACATTTATTCTATTCTCTTATATGGAACACAGGCATGGACACTGAACCTAACTGCTATGAGAAGGTTGAAGGTCTTCGAGATGTGGGTGTTTAGAAGACTCCTGAAAATACCATGGACAGATTATGTCAATAACAAGGCAGAATTGCGTAAAATGGACCAGGATGGAGAACTTTTCAATATTATCAAGAAGCTCAAAACCAGTTATTTAGGACATATGTACCGAAGAAGATATTATGAGCTCTTGAGTTTATTGATAAAAGGGCGAATTAGAGGAAGCAGAGGGCCAGATATGAGAAGATGTTTGTGGTTAAAAACATTAGGGAATGGATGGGTCGTGATACTCAGTCCTTATTTAGGACTGCACAGGATAGTGCAAGATTTGTCAGAATTGTTGCCGACCTTCAAAAGTGAAGAGGGCACTCTAAAAAAAAGTGAAGTACTAAAATATGACATATGACACTTATATTGACAAGTTAACATAATAATAATTCTTACCAAGCCGGCACAGTTTAATTTTTGGATTCTGCATGATCCATTCTCGCATGGAGGCCAGCGCGGTTTGACGAGTATGCTCGTCTTCGCGCAGCTCCTCCTTAGCGATTCGTTGGGTTTCTGGTGATAAAGTGCAGACATAAACGTCCGGTTCCGCTAATCCTTTGCTAACAGACATATCCTGAAATAAAAACAGTATTAGTCACGTAATGCCATTGTAATACTAATACAATTAACATAATAAATTGATCAAAGTTTATGGATAAGTATTAAAACTTTTATATAGTTATATGCTAAATTTTTGCATAAATTTAGCTTTTTATAATTTTTTTGCATTGTTTATTCATGTATAAAGACCATTATAATCTTTAGTCATAAAAACTGATAATTTTAAAAATGCTCTCAGGAATTTTTAAAAAGAGTATAAATTTATATTTATTGGATGCTTTAATGATGAGTACAGTCGATTTGATTGTACTTAATGTTAGACAAATAATTTTGATTTTTTTTCAGAACCTCATAAGTTTCTTTATTTTAAATCTTTTATAATTTGTTTAAGCGAGACGACTCGTTTTTGTAATCGTCTAACTTTCTGATGCAATACCTTCATTTGTTTTATTTTCTGTTTATTTTTGATTTTTTCTGTAAATAGTTGTTCTTCTTCTGAATGAATCGCTTAGAACCCTTTATTTGTACATATTTTGGAATCTCTTCAATTTTTTACTAATTTTTACAATTTCAAAAAAAAAAAAACAGAAAATAAAACAAATTAAGGTATTGATTGAAAAACCAGAAAGTTAGACGATTACAAAAACCAGTTTTCTCGCTTTTTACTTTTAAAAAACGAGTTTTGTTAAAAAAAAAACAAATTGTAAAATAATTTTGAGTTCATTAAATATTTTTGTATGTTGAGTAAAGATAATTTAAAAAAGACGTTTATTGATCATGAAGTACATGAGAAATAAGCAATATAAATGTTAATCAATATAAAAGGTAGCTATTATGGAGGATATTATGGGAACCAGCGAGATACTTTGACCAAATACGGGAGTGAAAATAATAGAATACTACGATATTTACCATTCTGATAATGAGTATACACGACACTGGAATGGTGTGGAGTTTTGGGTATTAGCTGGTAAAAACTTTCGGAGGATTTGACTCTTTTGGAGCCATCTATGAAGAAGCTAAAGGCTTTTAGAATGTCGTACTAAAGGCGAATAGTGCGGATTTCATGAGTTAATTGAGTGACAAATTGTAAACTCTCCTCAAAATAATAAAAAAAAAAACGTGAAGTAATTATCACGGTAAAAAAATTGAATTTTTTTTGTCCCAATTACGAGAAATAATGAAAGATGTGGTTTACTTTAGAAAGTTATTAAAGAGAAAGTGTTTGGTGTGGAAGACCCTGAAAGATCTCGCCTCATTATCTTCATTACCTAAGAATTTGATTCAATATGACGATCACAGGCCTATCATGAGCATTTATAAAAAAGTCAAAATTGAATTAATATTAATATCCTGAACAGATATTGATATGTGATAACAAAACACCAGAATACATTACAAAGATAAAAGTCAAAAGCTTCCAGGATGATTCTACAAGATACCTATTTCAAAAAAGAATAACAGAAAAAAACAGAAACACATATATCACAGAAAGTGATAGAGTCGAAGAAAGCTGCCATTCTATTAGCCTCTGCCAAGGAAGTTCTTGGTGAAAGAAATATAAATAAAAATAAATCGTTCCCAAGGCGAAGACCTCCGTGGTTTTGTACAGAAGTGAAGGAAAAATGCAAAGAAGAGAAAAAAGCTTACCTGAAATATATGTTAACCAAAACACAAAAGGCATACCATAATTACAAAACAATTAGAAACGACACACATGCCCTTGTAAAAAAATAAATAATTATCACTCGGAATGCTTTTCGAAAGAAATGGAACATGATTTTTACGATCTGCAAAAGGAAATATGGCTCTTTATAAGAACTCATCGAACAGAGGGAAATGAACCAATATAACCAAAACACAAAGAAAAGGATACGTGGATTGACTACCTAATAAAGTTGTATGCAGAGAAAGAAAAAACAACGCTAGAACCAGATACACTAGAAATTACCACAAATGAAGAACTTAATATAAATGTACACAAAGTTCGCCAAATACTTGGAAAGCTGAAGAACAAAAAATCAGCAGGTACAGACGGGATACCAAACGAATTACTGAAATATTGTTGAGCAACAATGACAGAACAATTAACAACATTAATTAATAAAATTATAAAACACAATAAAATACCGGAAGAATGGAGAACTAGCGAACTAATTCTATAATTCAAAAAAGGAGATAAAAAACAGCCAGAAAACTACAGAGTTATAAACTTGTTAAATACGATTCAAAAATTTACAACTAAAATTGTCTATGTAATAATAAATAAGAGGATAAGTTTAGCAAATTACTAAGAAATCACTAGAGTATAATAATCCTGAGCATTTCTGTATCTGATTGACTTAAAAAAGACAGAGTAAGATTCAAAGATGTGATTCATCTTCTGTATAATAGAGAAGTTCCCCCAAATATTTCCAGCAGAACAAGGGTACTCATTGAGCTCTATGCTCTTTAATTTAATCATGGATGAATTCATCAAAAGCGTTAACCGAGGAACAGGAGGCAGATTGGTAAACAAAGAAAAAAATACTCTGTTGAAGATAAAGATAGTCTGCAAATACTGGTTCACAGATTTATCATAAGAGCAAAAGAATTTAATATGACAATCTCATATTAAAAAACTAAAACAATAGTAATCAGCAAAGAACGAACCAGATGTAAAATAGAAATTGATGGCATCAGTAATGAACAAGTAATGGAAATAAAATACCTTAAAATTACACTGTCCAGCTATGGAAACCTGGACAAATAAGTGAGAGATCAAGTACAAAAAGCAAATAGACTGACAAGATGCCTTAATAACACTATATCGCGAAATAGATATATTAACACTAAGATGAAGTCAAGAATTTATAAAGTCAGTTTAAGACCAATAATGACATATTATAAGACCCGACACAGCCACAACACAAAGGCTACTGGAAACGGCAGAGATGAGAGTAGAGAGAAGAATTACAGAAAATACGTTGAGAGATCGAAAGAGAAGAAAAGACATTAGAAGAAAATGTAACGTACAGTATATAAAGGAATGGGCACTAAACAGAAAAAAGAATGGAATAACCACATAAGCAGAGTAGAGGAGACTCGGGAATGGACAGGCACGACAAAAATACATAAACGATTGTTTCTTAGTATTAGACAATTTCATGTTTATGTTCATTATTATTGGGTATGTTCTTTTTTATTTGTTAATTCCTTAAATCAGTGTTTCCTAAAGTGAGGGTCGCGACCCCCTGGGGGGTCGCCATGAGGTACTAGGTGGGTCGCCGAACATTTCCAAAATAAGACAAAAGCACCACTTTGTTAGATCATATATTTTTATTTTAACAACGCCGTAAATAGAAATTAACAATTAATTATCAGACGAAATATAAAACTAAATATTAAAGTCCGTAAAAATAAAAGAATAAAACAAAGTCAAATATTATAATCTTAATGAGAGCTATGCGCCTGTTTCTGTGAAACTAATCTTTCAAATCTAGGCTGTGTATTTGAGACACACACAATTATATCATTTTCAAGTACGAGACGATTTCTAACTCTTGTTTTAATGGCAGTCATAGACGAGAAACTTAACTCACACAAATATGATGTTACAAATGGAACCAAACATTTTACAGCTTCACTCGCCAACTGGGGGTATTCCTGCATCTTTTCGGTCCAAAATTGGTCCGAGTTCTGGGAAAAAATTGGAGCTTCCATCACTTGATATTTCAATAAGTTTTTCTTTCATGTTTATTGGTATTTCAACATGCTGAAAGGAATCGGCTAAAAACGGATTTAGTATCCATCTGCAACTGTCGTAACTGTTTTGAATTTCTTCGGGGAAATAATCACAGAGCTGTTGTTTTAAATTGAGCAAAGTAACATGCATGTCAGCAAAAACTTGTTCAAAATTTGTAGCACTGTAACTGGATACATTTTCCATAATTTCCTGAAGGCACTGGAATGAATCGAGTTGTTTTTTGCCAAGTGAGGTCGACCATAAATCGATTTTTCTTAGAAACGCCTTAATTTTATCTGTGGCTGTAATTATATTAACGTCGTGACCTTGTAAATTACTGTTCAAAATATTTAATTGCTCGAAAATATCAGCAAGGAAACCTAGTTTCAGAAGCCAAATAGGATCGGAAAATTGATTTTCATATGGGGACTTCCCATCTTTCAAATACATTAAAAGCTCTGCTCTTAAGTGAAATACTCTTTTTAAGACGTTGCCCCTTGAAAGCCACCTTACTTCGATGTGATAGAGAAGATTTTCAAATAAAGCACCCATGTCTTCGCAAATTTTTCTAAAAATACGGGTCTGCAAAGCTTTTCCTTTAATGGAATTTACAACTTACTTTACAGGAGGTAAAGCTTTAGACGCAAGAGCTTCTCGATTTAAAAAAAAATGTCTTCATTTTTCATTAGGCATTATTTCTTGTAATTTGACGACAAGACCAGATTTATGTCCTGTCATAGCTTTAGCGCCATCTGTGCATATAGCAATTATATTGCTATATGCACCACACATTATATGTACCATTTCAACAGCTGCTGGAAAAATCAGATTTTCAGCAATTGTGTGCGGATTACTAGTTTTGGCAACACGATAAGCAACTTTATAACTTGTTAATAATGCGCTTTTTCATTAGTAGTGGTTGCCAAGGGAAAACTGTCTTGCTGTTTGTGAAGGACGTTCAGCTTTCTTCCGAAGAATTCTACGGGCTTGTCTTTTTTATCTGGATGTTTGCTATTTAAATGTCGAAGTAACTTTGATGGCTTCATGCTTTCTTTTGACTTGTCCACAAGTAACATATTGTGGTTTATTGGAAATAACGGTAAAACCATATTTAAGATATTCATCAATGTAGAATCTATTTTTATTTTTATTGCTGCTACTGGCACTTCCAGATGTAGATGGTTCTGCACTTCTTTTTAAAAACTTATCCATAATTTATAATTTCTCGTAGACGTAAATACGTAAACGGGAATACGTAAGTCGTAAAATATTTACTCATTACTCAACAC